ACACACACACACACAAACTGCAGCAGGACAATGTATTAACTTGAGATCAATAAAACAGTCTTTATTGTAGAAAAAAACAAGTTCAGACTCTCATTTAAAACAACACAAAACTGGCTTGGGACATATAAATAATGTTTCTTCCTTTGAAGCCCATATATTCTAACACTGGTCACCACTAACACTGTTACAAGCCCCAACAGAATCATTCACTCTATAAAAAAAACACGGTTTTTAAACCTGTCATGGCACAATGTGGTGTATCCAGTCCACTTTTCTATTCCCTAATGTACATGTTCTATTTGTTTTGGTTGCTCTGACAGCTGATGGTCATTTAATACAAACACTGGGACACTCAGGATGAACAATTTGAACATGTGAAATATAACACTAAACTTCTATGCAGAATTGGGATGTTTGTCACTCTCTGTGTTCACTGTAAGTTTGCCTGTGCATTTGTACTCACCTTATGTTCAAGTACAATAAATCTAACATCTAAATCTAAATAGTGTGACCGTTCAAATGAGTAAAAAGTTTGAGGCAGACCAACAAAGTATGTAAATGTCAAAATGTACTGCACTGATGTCGGTTGCATCAGTTCTGATTAGTTACACAACTCACAGGGAATAAAGTGTTATCTTCAACCAAAACACTACCCTGGACTGTGGTCAGATTTTGAACTTTTTTTTGGGGGAGTCTGAACATTTTCTTATGTGCTGTGTGTCCTTTCATTCCTTCCACAGAGCACTTACTTTGGTTTTTGATTCTAGGTTATCGGAAGCATAGGTCGCTACCACATGTAAATAAAGAGAGAAATGCTGGGATCTTGCTGCATACCTACTGTAAAGTCATATGCAAGGAAAAGTCACTATTAATAATAAGCCAGTTTGAGAAAAACTATTTTACTAAGAAACATTTTACAGCCCTGTTGTTCAAAATGTTCAAATAAAAAAAAAGAAGAATCCTTTCATTTTCCCAAAAACCACAGGCCCAAGTGCTCTGCTACTGAAATGAAAGGAATACAATGAATCAGACAAGTCTCTTAAAAAGGTCAACTGTACCTTTAAGGTTCAAACAGACAGGGCTGGTCCCTACAGTCACTACTGAAGGATAACCTCACCACAGAGCTCGAGTTCATACAGAGTGCAAAGAAGGACACATGGGAGTGAAAAGGGCACGAGTGTTTCTCAAAACCATCCAACAACCTTAAGAACGTGTTATCTCTCACAGCGATGTTAGTACTGTCCAAGGGGCTCGACATTAACCCAAACAATCTCAGTATAACAGCTGGGGGAAAAAAGGGAGTGTTTGTAGTGAGGGAGTGAGCTATTTGGACCCCATGTATCATCTGTGATCTGCAGCAGTGTTCTTTGGTCCTGGGTGGTTCACAAGGAAGGGGAGAGAGGGGCAGCGAGGTTTTTCCATTATTCACTTTCACTGAGGCCACAAGGTCGCCGCCATTCCTGGCCTCGTTCATGGATCCATTTGTTTGATACTAAGACACAGAAAGACAGAAAGAAAAAAAGATTATTACATTACCATAATCTAGCCCTTTGATTACTTTAGGCACAGTGCAAATGTTTACCTTTCATGTCTTATAAACTCAAGACCAGGGGCCTCATTTATAAAGGCTGCTACGCACAAAAACGTTACCAAAATGGTGCACGCGTATTTCCACACAGATGTTGGGATTTAAAAAGAGATTATGTGCGGTAAAAAGTGTGAATTTCTACACAAGCTTTCACCCATGCGTGGAGCAGTGTGTTTTAAAAATGTTTTTCAGACACAAGAAACAACAATGCCAGATGGTGAGATCATGAAATAAAGCTTAGTCCTCATGAAAAAAAATCACATGAAATATAAAACGTACATCATTACCACATTTCAGGATTTGTGTACCCCTAATTGCGTAAAGCCTAGAGTTATTATTATTATTATTATTATTATTATTATTATTATTATTACTACTACTACCACTACAAGT